GGGAAAAGATATGATATCTACAGATATCTGAAAAGCTAGCATCTTTTGTGATGAAATCTACAAGGTGATGTCTTTGAAAACTTTTCTTGAAAGGCCTGCTTTTGAAAATTGTAAAGGGACTTTTTCCTAAATAACGTAATGTATTCTATCTAATTGTGCACAAGAATTTTAAAAGAATTCTTTGAAAACTTTGCATTGCGCTCACCTTTGTCGTACGCGCAAAACAAAATGGTGAATGAATGCTTAGCAGATAGACTAGAAATATCCTTCTGCCAAATTATTTTTACATTTCCATTATTTTATCATAACTTTTAAATGGAGCGCTATCTGATTTAGAATCGTATAAGGTTGTATTTTAGTTCTATTGTTTAGATCGTGAACGTCTTCTTAATCATATTAGAAAGAAATATTACTTTTTTCCTATCTGGTACTTTACTTTTTGTATCCGAGATATGATGCAATTAATCTTTAGAAAATATTTGTAAATTAATTCGATATTGGTCAAGATTCTTATTTAAGTGCTAACTGATGCATCCCATTATACCTCTCTAGAACATCTAAATGTGATATTGGTCGAAGAAACAACAAATTTTCGACAAAAAATTTGTTATGTGTGCAAGTGCACATGTAAAGAATGGTAACTATTACAATCCGGAACAGTACTCTCCGATAAAATTAAAAGAAAATAAAAATGAATATGAATTAATGCCAGTTTTCCAACTTAGCTTAAGCTTAGTTAGTCATGTAAGAGCATAGAGAAAGAAGATACCGTTCAATGTATTGGTTTCAATACTATTTGGTGTTGGTTTAGTAACCGTATCTACATCATTGTAATCTAAGAACTTATAGAATAGTAAGAAAGACTATTATAAATACAATTATGAACCTTTCAAAGCTAGTGATGTATCATTGGTAATAATATTGAGATGCGAAGTAATATATGTTTGTATAAGTTCATGTTTAAATAAGGTAATGTCAATTGTTTCTGGTAAAGAGTCTTGAGGAATATTGCACTGACATGATGAAACAGAAACATTTACATGACCTTCCTCAATCCAACTAGGTAGAGCAAAAGCAATTGACTCGCTCCAGCTGGCATCTTCTGTGAAACTTTGTGCAAGAGTCCCAGCAGATAAAACTATAAATTCGTTGGGATGTTGAATGATTCGATGATAACGAATATGATTTTTATCTAGTACGGAAGGATCGATGAATAATTGTCCATGGTCAAGACAAACAGAAGAATTTTGATGATCAATTATTCTTTGTAAAACGTCTCGCTCAGAAGTTGGAATAATGTACCAGTGATGAGCACCACCTTCGTGATGGTAATCAACTGAGAAGAGATGCTGTTCAGCAGAAGTCAACGGGAAAATAGCACCTGGTCCATGTGCCCTTTTCACAGATGGAACAAATCGGCGCGTCAATTTGCTACCACCTAATTTGAGAAGTGATTGATAAGGCAAACGGTGAATATCAAAATATAAACGAGGTCTTTTCTGATAAAAGAAACTCTTATTCGGTAATATTGAAATGTTCGTCTGTCGTCGCTTGTTGCCGGAACAAGATAATGAAGACCAAAAATTACATTCATCTGTTACCAATAAACTTTGTTGAGTGGATTCATCAATATGATCAGCCTTTTGTACGAAGTAAACAGGATCGTCTTTATTCATCTTTACAATCTGTTCCATGATTGGACATGACACGATATTTTTTTGTCGTTTCTTCAAAGCTAGTTTACAATCAATATTCAGTTGGATTTTAATTGCGCCAAATTTCTTCAAAAGCCTTTCATGTTTATAAATAAAACTGACAAAGTTCTGAAGATCCTTCTGGTTGATTTGTAAAGTTGGAATATCCATCGACATTGCTAGCATTTTTTTCCTAGGAATTTTGTAATCAGATATAAATCAATGAAATACAACATTTTCTAATTTATCAATATAAAACTAAAATAATTCTCGACTTACTCAGAGACTGATCGATTCGAGTGAGCGATTTCATACAAAGCACAAAATGAACAGGGACAATTTTTGTTGGATCTGACGGGGCGGGTTAAAGGTGCAACAGAACAAGGTTGAGTGAGATTAAGTTAAATCCCCAAAATTTCCCCGTTTGTAAGTTTTATATACACGATAATCAGTATAAATTTTTATGATGGACGTATCAGATAACATGAAGAAGGAAAGAATTGATTGTGATATAACCCAATCGAGACGGTATTTGGCGATTATCAATAGAAAAAAATCGAATATTTGACAGATTCTTATATTCTCTGATAGGAATACAAATTCTGCATAAAATGAATCTATTTTCGACGAAATAGAATCGTATTTTAATGAAATTTCTGGTTTAAACCTAGTTTTTAATGCTATTATGGAGTGCTTCCGATCGTTCTTTTTATCTGAGTAGTTTTGAAAACAAATGGGATATTTGTAATCAGTGCATTTAGTATTATTGAATTATAAAGACTTGTAATAGAATAATGACAAAAATTTTTTTTTCGATACCTGAGAAGAACCCCGGATGAGAAAAGTTGGATTGTGGCAAAAGTAGAAAACAAAATTATGAAAAATACTCAGAGTTTAATCCTGACTCTCAAAGTAATAAAATTAGATTCAGATTTTTCGAGGTCTTCGGTCCATAATTCGACGCAACTTTTGACGTATTGAAATATGGTTAACGTGTGATAATGAACTAATAAATCAATAATCATCAACTACGTGCTTCTTTTTCTCTTATTTTACTTCATCTTACTTGTTCGATAAAGTTAGAGATACTTCACTTTACTTTACTGACAATGGAAGTATTTGTATTGTAACCGAGCTAGACTTGATATTTTGGTGTCAAATGAAAGCTCGCACTACCAAACTAACAAGGTTAAAATATTAGCGGCCATTAGCTTGCCTAGCGGGAGATATTTAAATTTCAAGATGTGTGAAATTTAGGTATAAAAATGAATCAGGGAGAGTTTTCTTCACTATTGCACGGACAAAACATAGTGT